ATGGAGATATCTAGGGCAGGAAACTAAGGTGCCAGCCTGAAATATTCAGTCAATCTGGTTCATCTGTCTTCTCATTAGCCTCTCAGGTTGAATCACTATCTAGGTCCTGACTGTATTCTTCGGTAGTAAAGTCAGGTAACTTGGAATAGTTAAAAAGTTTTTGATCTGCCCCATTTGGGAACATTTGCATTAATTTAGTTTCCAACTATAAGAATAACTGGTGCTGGGCATGGTGGCACACACCTGTAATCCCAGCACTTTGGGAGGCCAAGGAGAGTGTATCACTTGAGGTTAGGAGTGCAAGACCAGACTGAGCAACATGGCAAAAGCATATCTCTCCAAAAAACAAAACAAAACAAAACAAAAATTAGTGGAGTGTGGAGGTGTATGCCTGTAATCCCAGCTACTTGAGAGGCTGAAGTGAGCAGATTGCTTGAGCCTGGGAGGTCAAGGCTGTAGTGAGCCAAGATCATGCCACTGCACTCCAGCCTAGGTGACAAAATGCGACCCTGTTTCAAAAAAAAAGAAAAAGACATCCAACACACACACGCACGCACACACACACACACACACCCCAAATAAGACCCAAAAGTATAGTGTAAGGTCTTTTTCCTATAGGTAAGATGGGGGATGAGGGGCACGGAATTAGTTATGAAAACCCGGTGTGCTAACTAATGGAACAGAGGGTACTGAAGCACACTGGGGAGAGGAGGAGGAAGGGAGGCTGGGGTGACGAGGGTGAGATGGAAGGCTTCAGAATAGACCGAGGCCTTAAGCTGAATCTTGAAAGACAAATAGGAGTTAGCTTGATGGCTGAAGTAAAGAAAGGCATTAAGAGCAGAGGAAACATCACATGAAAAGGCACTATCAACGAGATAGGAGGAAAATCAGCAAGGAGGGGTAGCACAGGAAAGCTAGGAAGGAGAGATGATTAATAGTGCCAAATGACAAGGGATCAAGTAAAATCAGGACTTAAAAGTATTTCCTGGCTTCTAGGGTGACCTGAGGCTCCCATCCCTACACACTAGCTTACTGCAGTTGGAGTATCCATTACCTGGAATCACAGAGAAGAGACCATAAAGGCCTCAGTCCCAATATGAGACCCTCTCTATGGCCTTCTGATGAGGGCCTTGAATCTAAGCTTGATCACTTTCAGAGCTAGGAAGTCCCACCCAATCTCATGGTCAGGCCAACTTTAGTGGTTAACAAGTTCTTTACAGCAGAGAGTTGCTGGCGCCTAATATTTAAGAATAGATATCCCAGATGATGTGTCTACCTGAACTTCAGAATCTACCTGTTAGAACTGTTCTCCCCTCATCTTGGGCCCACAGTACCCAATAGTCAAAAAAGCCACCACTAAAGAGCACACATTATGTGCCAGACATTGGGGTTATATCAGAAGCTTATGTATATTTTCTCATTTAATCCTTCCAGTGACCCTATTAAAGTAGGAATATAGATACAGTTATTTTGTTTTTGCAAATCACAGAAATTGATTCAGCTAGCTTAAGCAAAAACACAATCTATCAGAAGAAAATTAGGACGCTCATAGAGTAAAAGAAGCTGAACAACTAGGCCCCGAGAAGGAGGCAGCAAATTGGTAACTCAGGAAATTCAGGCCACAGGAACTGGTGGAACTGATGGACACCTCTTTATAATGCCATCCTCATAAGGAATAACCTTCAACTACTTTTCATCCTTGGGTCACTCTGCTCAAGATTAAAATCCCAGGGCAGCAAAGCTTGACTGTCCATGGTACATAAGTCACCTTGATTGACACTGAGGCTCTACCTGGCTTGGGAGAAATCAAGGTGCTTCTACTAAAGCAGGAAGAGGAAATGCTGAGTAGAAAGAAACAACAGATGTCCATTAGGACAGGTGAAGTTATCCCCATTGTACAGATCAGGAAACTGCAGCTCAGAGAAGCCAAGAAACTCTCCCAAGTTTACACAGACAATAAATGACAGGGCCAGGGTTTCAGCTTAGACCTTCCTAACTCTAAAGCCTGTGTGCCTTCCATTCCTCCTTACTACCTGTTTGCCTAAACTGCATATGGGCGTTGCCTTTTGAGTCAAGCCATGCCTGGTAGGCTGAAACTCTACTGTCAGTCCAAGAGCTGGGTCAGTCTCCTCAACTCCCATCCCAGTTGCCAGGGGGAGGCTCCGCAAACAGTTTTCTGTCCCACCACAGAAGCCTATCTTGCTGTGAGGAAACAGCTATGCTCTGAGGCCCCACTGGGAGACAAGAGAATATTAAACCACAGCCTGTCTTTCCAATGTCTGCCCATTGACTCTGTGTTGCCTTGAGAGCAACACACAATACTCCCTTCTCAACATGCTAACCTTCCAAATATTTGAAAAGAGGGATCTGTTCCACTCAGATCTTCTCTTTGCAAAGCTAAATATTCCTGTTCCTTCAATGATTCCTCATACTGCTATCCCATATGACCGCATGGGGATAATTTCCATATGTTGGCTAATTCTCCAAGACTTACATCAGATGAGAATCTGGCCCTGTATGAAAAGAAACCATTTCCCCTCGCTTTCTCTTTCTGATTCATTAGATTTCACATAAACCTTTCTGATGATGACCTGCTGTTTTCAAACTCAGCTGCAACCCAATATGACTCACCAGGCAAAATTCTCATTCTTCAGTCTTCGTTTATCATTTCCCACCAACCCAAGGCCCCAGCAAGCACCCTTCAGGGGCAATATGTGTCCGTGAAAAATGCCAAGTTTTGATTCTTTGCCATTTTTTAGTTTATATAAAGTCATATGACTTTTAAAAATCAAAGTTTTTGCTCAATGTAAATAATTTAAAGTTTGAACAGCTGTAATCATATTCTCCAAAGAAAACACCCTGAAAGGTGGTTAAGGGCGTGTGTGCCAGATCCTCCCCCTAAAATCTCTTTAATTGTTCTTTTCATTAAAAAAAAGAGAGAGCGCACGAATAGAGATTTGAACGACGTTTTGGGGTTTTGAGCATTTGAAAGGTATATCTTCATAAAGACATTAGTTGTACTGTTTCTGAAACAAAGTGTCTGATTATGTAAATAGTTATGGAATCTCAAAGTTTGAGTTGGAAGAAAGGAGGAAAAAGAGGAGTTGCACACGTAGGGAAAGAAGTCTAGGATTTTTCTGTTCAGAATCTTTTAGCTAGGCAACTCCAAAAACTGCAGCTGGAACACTCTAGAATTAAATAAGTACTGGAATTTGGACTAAATGAATCCATGTCAAAGGTTCAGCATGTGACTCAGACACAGTAAAATATTCCCGTCCTTTTGCTCTTCAGAACATGATTCAAAGTCTACCATTTACATTCTGTCTGTCATAGACAAGGAACTGAACTCAAACAGAGGAACTTATTGTTTGGTCTCTGCCACCAAAAGCTATGTATCTTTGAACAAATTACTATTCAACTTTGAAAACCCCTTCCATAAAACTGTTGGTCAGTGACCATCTCTCCAGAGAGATGATCTTTAAGGGTGAATCTGTGGTAAGAGGAAGGTAAGAAAATAGAGCAGTTTCTATTGCTATATTGCATTGTTCCACCTGGAACAGAGAGTCTCTCCAAGTACTCTGCTTGACTGGATTTAGGATGTTCAGGCTGAAGAATGAATTGCTTAATGGAGTTGGTAGCTTCTGTAGTCACTGGCCATCAGGTGTATAGAACTGTAGAATCATAGAATTGGAAGGTTCATTAGATGTCATCTGATACAAACATTTGCCTAATGAAAAGATGTCTCCACATTGACTGGTTGCAGTGGCTCGTGCCTATAATCCCAGCCCTTTGGGAGGCTGAGATGGGAAGATGGCTTGAGCCCAGGAGTTCAAGGTTACAGTGAGCTGTGATTGTGCCACTGCACTCAAGCCTAGGTGAGAGAGTGAGACTTGAAAAATAAAAATCTCTCCACAAGACCACTGAGTAGTGATGTCTGAAATGGTGGCTACCTGAACACAGGAACAGAGCTCTTGCCACCTTTCAAAGCAGCATTTTCTGTTCTGGGATGGCTTTAGATGTTATACCATTTCTATATTGAACTGACATCCACCACCTTTTTGTCTTGGATATACCCTCTTGAACCACAGAGAATAACATCTACAACATCCCCTAAACTTCCCAATTTCTTTCAAATGTTCTTCATATGGGATTCCCAGACCCTATATTTCCCTGGTCACCTTTTTAGTGCATACCTCATTTTGTTGCAATTCCTTGTGGATAATTTGAATCTAGCCCTTCTACTGGGTGAACAATGAAGATTTGTGGAAGTCTAAACTATGAGGCCAAGTACTGTATTTGTCTTGTTCCATCAGCAACTTGTAATGACTGAAATGTTGTAGGTACCCCCAAAATATTTATGGAATGACTTGTTTTTGTTTGTTTGTTTTTTTGAGACAGAGTCTCGCTCCGTCACCCAGGTTGGAGTGCAGTGGTACGATCTTGGCTTACTGCAACCTCTGCCTCCTGGGTTCAAGAAATTCTCATGCCTCAGGCTCCAGAGTAGCTGGGACTACAAGTGTGCACCACAACATCAGGCTAATTTTTGTATTTTAGTAGAGACGGGGTTCACCATGTTGGCCATGCTGATCTTGAACTCCTGGCCTTAAGCGATCCTCCTGCCTCTGCCTCCCAAAGTGCTGGGATTATAGGTGTGAGCCACTGTACCCAGCCTAAATGAGTGAGTCTTTAACCTTCCTTCTAGTTGGCTTGAGTAGAACTCCAAGGAATATGAAAGTCAATTCTCCTTCTAATAGATGGTAAATGAAACCCTTTGGATTTGAATAAAGAGAATGGTTCCCTCTCTCTCTCTCACACACTCTTTCTCTCTTTCTTTCTCTTGCCCTCGCTCTCTCTTGCTCTCTCCTGCTCTCTCTCTCTCTCATCCTCCCAGGAAGAGCCAGATTAGACTTATTGGAAGACTGGTAAGTTACATTTTAATATGTTAAACTAGGTGGAAACACCATTACTAGAAAATAATTTAGACCTTGGGCAGTTTGGATTCAACATGTGTTGTACTGATGTTTTCCAGTGCCTTGGTGATTCATACAACTTTCTGGGATCTTTTGATTAACGGAGAAAAAGTCGTAAGATCAGCAAGAAGAGAAACTAGATTTTTGCCTCAACTCAACATGTTAAGTAATCACCTGACATCTGCATAAGACCACCTCTTGGCACCTGGCTACACAAGCTGAAATGGGTAATTCACTAATTACTTGGGTGTGTGCCTCTTTAAATGAGTTGTGGAGTGGGTGAATATTTGGGGGATTCCACTGGAGTGAAACACAGCTGTTGAATTATTTATGTTCACTTGAAAAGCACAGAACACAAAAGTCCTGTGATTTCACCTCAGCATTTCCAGCCTCCATGGACAGATTTTGTCTGGTGCTTGAGATCCAGGTCCTGTTTCTAGCAGGCCCAATTGTAACTTATGACTTAACCCTCTAAGTAAAGGGCTCTTGATTGGCAGGCACCTCTCTCTGAGGACAAGAAAATAATCTAATAGGATTTATTATTTCTCTGAATACTTCCAGTTTTAGTGCAATTAAATTAATGTGAATATATTTTTCTGTGGTCCTGTCTTGCACTAGGCTCTCAAACGCTCTCCCTGTGTGTGTGTGTGTGTGTGTGTGTGTATGTGTGTGTGTGTGTTGGGGGGAGTGGCATGTGCACTTTGCTTTATGTTATATTTTCATAAATAGCCAGGAGACTGAAGAGGGCATGGACAATCAGACCTCTAACTCCTGGCAAGGAATTACAAACTGAAGGAAATCAGCTTTAAAAGCTTTTTTGGCCCCTCACATTATTTTTAAGCAAAGGACAAGGATATGAGGAAGGAAAGGAGGATATGAGGAAGGAAAGGAGGCAGTATACTTTTCAAGGAAACTAACTTGAAACTATTTAGAGGCATGCTATCTACAGTTTCTATTAAAACAAACAAACAAACAAAAAATGTTCTCAATACCTTCCTTTCTTCCTAAGGTTTAAAATAATCCTTAAAGCCAATATAATTACAGCATTTACTCCCAGTCCACATCCATTTTGTTAGCCGTCTCCAACCTCAACCTTGCATATCCTTCACCACTAGAAACCACCTCATTTTAACTGAAAAAAAAAAACAACTGTAAAACAAAAGCAAAGACTCGTAATGATGTATGGCTTTAATTCTTAGCAAAGACAAACAGTTCGTTACAGATGAGCATTAATTAAACGACTAACAACAAAATCTGTGCTTTACTTGGTGATCCTGGGTTGACCTTTTCCTAAGATGTACTTCTGTTGTGGTCCCTGGGAAGAAATACCTATTGAGGGACAGGATTCTGACTGTAAAGACATGACTATAATTCACAGAGCAGATGAAAAGTTCACAAACAAGCTATTCATTTCTTCTAAACTTCCCAGCCAAAACCCCTCTAGACTATACTTTCACAACTCCTGCATAAGGATTTCACTAAGAGTTCAGGCTATCTTCCTTCCAGTTCCCACTATACCTATTGCTGACTGTTGGAATTCTCCACCACTAAGCGTGGGCAGTCTGACTCACTCTAGGGTCTGAGAATAGGGGCCTCCACATCATGAAGTTCAAGTCTTGTGAAAAATAAGGAACATTAGACAGTGTAACCACACCAGTTAAATAAAGACCCAGGGCAAAATCATGCTGGGGAAACCTTCCAGATTTTGCTGAGCACTTGCTGATTTCAGTTCTTTCTTTCTCTCTCTTTCTTTTTTCTTTCTTTCTTTCTTTCTTCCTTCCTTCCTTCCTTCCTTCTTTTTTTTTTTTTTTTTTTTTGACAGAGTCTTGCTCTGTTGCCCAGGCTGGAGTGCAGTGGCTAGATCTTGGTTTACTGCAACCTCTGCCTCCAGGGTTCAACGAATTCTCCTGCCTCAGCCTCCCGAGTAGCTGGGACTACAAGTACACACCACCACACCTGGCTAATTTTTGTATTTTTAGTGGATTACTGTAGCGGCTCTTCCTGTGGTCTATCGGTTTCACCATGTTGGCCAGGCTGGTCTCAACCTCCTGACCTCAGGTGATCCACCTGCCTCAGCCTCCCAAAGTGCTAGGATTGCAGGTGTGAGCCACTGCACCCAGCCAGTTTTCATTTTTGCTTCTTTTCAAAAAAAGGTTTACTGTAAGGTATTTATTTATATGTGGCTTCTTGACCCTCTAAATGATTATTGAAAAGTATGCAGTGTGAAGACCTTAATCCCAAACTCTCTCTCTCTACAGCGTCAGATTATTACAATTTTGGGTGCTCAGAGGACAAACAGAGGGCAGAGCACTCCAGTGTAATATTATTTACTTGTTTATAGGTCTGTCTTCCCCCACTCAGCAGGAAACTCTATCAAAGGCAAGAACTTTGCCCTTTGCATCTTTTTATCCCCACTGCCTTGTTTGGTGCCTGGTACGCAGCCAATAAATATTTGTCAAATTAATCCATGAAGGTAAATTGAAAGCACACCATTAGTGTTAATTGGCAAGACCTTCTGTGGGCAAGCAAATGTGCCCACTAAGCCCTGGTAACCACAGTGTCTTTTGAGGCCCAACATTAAGCCCTTTTTCATTCTTACTGCCAAGCACAGAGCTTAAGAAGGCCTCAGTTTGATTTCCATATTTGGATCATGCTGAGTGTAGACCCCAGTTCTATAATCCATTTCTTTCTGAGGCTGTTGGCATCTCTGGAGTCGGGAAGTAACATCTGCTTCAGTGAGCTCATTACCCAATGAGAAAAAAAGAGGTAAAGGCTAGCGTTAGGTGGGGTCTGACTTAGCGTCAAAGCAGGCATATGGCATGTATCTTAATGAGAATTTGCATATTCAGGAAAGATACATCTGAAGGGAAAATTAACTGGTTCAAGACGGAGCACATAAATACAATATGGCTGATCAGATTGCCCCAAGTTGATGGCGCGCTGTCTTTAAAAGCCTTCATATTTACTTTTCCCTTTCAATTCCCACTGCATCACTCTGGTTGGTGCCCTGGTTTACCTCAACTCTGGATTACTGTAGCGGCTCTTCCTGTGGTCTATCTTTGCTGGATGTGTCTTTGTACCAACTCCTGCTCCACAAACTAGAATGTTAATCTCCCTAAATCCAAGACTCAAAAACCAAGGCTTCATTTGCTTTGGTTTGCTCAGAAAGCTTGGCTCAAAATCAAGACTTTCATTTACTAAAAAACCAAGACTTCCCTTCTTTTCCTGGCACTCAAGTATTTCATCGAGAATCTGGTCTTAACCTGCATTTCCATGCTACCTCACTACCGAGTTCCAATCCATCTCTCCATCCCACCAGGCTGGTCCATTAATTCATGCAGGGTTTCCTGGTTCCTTTCTATTATCTTTATTTGTCCTATTTGCATAGAAAGTCCTATTTACATTGCTTCTGCCCACCTATCCAGGTTCAGCTCTTGTCTACTCCACAAATCCTTCTGTTGTCATTCTAGTCATCACCAACACTTCCTTATCTGAACAACTATAGAACTATAAGACACTGGGAGGGAACTGATATGTATCTATGTTTTAAGAATCTTTTGGTTCAAACATTATTCAGCAGGATAAAATCACAGGTTCTTTAGAAATTTCAATGTCAGCTCACAGATTTTCCAATGTGGGGACCTCCTGTGATGCAGAGAATACATCCCCAGTCTAATGAGATAAGACAAGTATGTTCTGTCCACTTCATGTCTTTTGTCCCTTTAAAAAATAACAATGTATTAGAGTTATGTCTAGAGAAGTGAGCAGTATCAGCCAGAGAAAGGTTTTAGTTTTAAGAGAATTCCACTCTGAAGCATGAGAAGATCCAAGTGAAAAAAAAAATTGTTGATTTGGATCTGAATGGTGACAGCTTGTGGGGTTGGCTGGTTAGAGTATAAGGCATAGTGGCAAAATGAAACTGAATTATCCAAGAAGAGGAGGGAATCCCAGGAAAGAAGGTGTTCCCAGACATCCATACAAGGCAGAAATATAGAAACATAGAAACATAGCAGAAGATGGCTTGAGGAGAATAAGAATGGCAACAAAATCTGCCCTATCTTTTGAACTCTATATGGATTTCTGAGCAGTTATGAGTCAGATTAAGTTATTTCTAGTGATGGACTGATCATGTATCCATTTTCAGGAGATGCAGAGAATAAGAGCAAGGATGTGTCAGCCTGTAAGAGCCTAGATCAAGGGGCCCTGCCAGAGAGATTCTCCTGTGGAAATAGGAGACCATGGTGGTTGTGGTGGTGGTAGAGATGAATATGAAATCAGCGGGAAATCTACCTGATTTGTTCATGTAGCCAACAGAAGGGAAGATCATTTATCTAATGTCAGCTACATAAATTTTAATAGCAATGCCTAGAATGAAACAGCTTCCAAAGTGCTAGATTTAAACCTAAAGACTGAAACCTGCCACTTATTCCACGAACACTCCTGGCAGCTATAATTTGTAAGATTTTGTTTTTTAGAACATGTTTTGCAAACATTTTTGGTCACCTGAAGTAAAAAATATCCTATACAGGCTAATGTTTCATGAAAAACAAACAAACAAAAAAACAAACAAAAAAAAGAAAAAAGAAAAACCACGTTCACTGAGGATAAAATACAAGCCATTTTGATTTTTTTTTCCAATTTGGTCTGGTCTTTTTTATTTGAAAAATGCTAGCCAAGACCTACTTTTTTTTTTTCATGACCTACTAATTTAAAAAACTATGTTAGAACAAGCAGGCCTGGCTGACCTCTAAGACCAGAAGACAAGAGCTGAGAGACACCCAGTAAACCCTGCTTCTGAGAGATTGCCAGGGGCACTATTAATGGAAGATTATAAAGGTCTCTTTTAACTTTTAAACTTTATCTTTTATTGCTTTGACCCGGTTGTTGCAGGAAAACTCCTTGAGAAACCACACAAGAATGGAACACTTGCTTAGAGACATGAGAGTAGCCTAGAATCTAAGAATCTGTGCTTCCTTCTACAGTTGTCTTTGGAAGAAGAATAGACATTCATGGCAGACCAAAGATCACTCTCTGAAGGTAGGACCATGTTTTTATATCCCCTTCAGCACCCAAAGTGGTGCCTCACATGAGGAAAATGCTCAAAATAATGGTTAATTACACATTTTGAGATTCATACATCCTGGAAGAGCACCTTTCAACTTTTAAAGGGTATTCCCCCTTTTGATAAACATGTACTCACATTGCTGACTATATAATCCCAGATTCTGATCCAGGACCTTTCACCTATCTATGCCTCCATTTATGATTACCTGCTCTAGAAGTTGAATGAATAGAAAAGGAAATGAGCATTTGTTTGTTGAAAACTATCAAGCTCCAGGCACATGGCAAAATGTATCTCATTTATATCATGCAGCAATTTTATGAGATAGGCATTATTTTCTCCATTTTAGATAAAGTAACAAGAGCAGTATGAGGTTAAAAGACTTGACCAAGGCCACAGAGCTAAGGCATGGCAGAGCCAGGACTTGGATTGCCACATCTGGATGATTCTGAAGCCTACATTCTTCACATGCCATCAGAGTGGGTCTTACATGGAAGTAGGCCTTTCAGAGCTTCCTAGAATGGATACTAATCTAGGCGCAAGTGTTAGCTCTTTCAAAACTCTCTTTGTATTGATCAGCCTCTTTGGATCTCAGTTTTTTCACATGATCTGAAACATGAATCATGCCCTTCTCACAACAGAACAACTGTGAAGATTAAATGAAGTAATAATTTACATGAATTATAAAGAAAGACCGTTTTATAAATGTGAGATGCCATATAATGCCTTGACTTACTATAAGGCGTAAGGATAAATGTGATAACTTTTGTAAATTACTTGGCATCCTACCTGAAAAATTATATATGTTTAATAAGTGTTCATTTCCTTTTCTTCTTCCTTAAGGTGTTGTATGAGAAATCCACATAGGAGCAACCCAAGAAAACCATGCAGGTCAATACTAGCCTGGAAAGACAGAAGGAAAACATGCCAAGTGGAGCTCACCAGAAGGACAGCAGTCAGAGTTCAAGAGCCCAGCTTTAAAAGGCATGTGTTCACTGATGTGCTTTAAAATCTGTAATAAACAGTAGTATACTCTGGTAGTGAGGAAGAATTGAGGCACTTGGAGAACTGGAAGACTATTTGAAGACGATGATGATACCTACTGATCATGTGAGTCAAGACATTGGAGTCTTGTCTACAGATTATATGAATGGCCTCCAATGGTGAAGATTTGAATTTAAGGTTGCCAAGCAAGAATTTCAGAAGGGGCCTCCTTGACTTTAGAAAATAAATGTGAAACTGGCTCAAGCTGCCTTTCTATCTATCTGTCTTGGGTAGCCTCAGCAGTACGCATTAGCTTGGGGGAGGAGTAAGAAAATAGGAGATAGTTTTGTTCCTATTTGAATCAACCCATTTATGCCAGAGGCTGCAAATTTTTTGTGTGAAAAATAAGACATTGGCAATGACGTTGCACAGTAGCATATAAATAACTCCCACAAGCGTAGTGTTCCAATAATGGAACACTAGGCATACATAGGTTAAGGTTCATTAATATTTAACTGCTTTCCAGTGTCCGTATCAGTAGGTATCATCAGCTTCTTCAAATAGACTTCCAGTTCTCCAAGAGCCTCAGCTCTTCCTTACTACCAGTGTATACTATACTTTATTACAGATTTTAAAATTAGATTCTCCTGATCACCTGGAAGTCAGAGGAATCAGGGAATGAGGACTTGCTTTTTCAAATCCTCTTTCTTTTCCAGCATTTCTGCCCTAGCTGCTGGATTTCCAAGTTAGTCATCTACAAGTTACACTTCTTCTTTCTGTCACTTCATCTCACATGCATTTTGTGGGCATCTTAGTCTATTTATGCGGCTTTGTCCCCCAATGTTTAAGGAAACTCTGCTTGATGGTGTTGCTAAAGAAAATTCCCAGCCATAGCTCACAGGAAACAGGAGAGAAGGAATCTTCAAATCATTGCCAAGGCCCAATTTCAGGATGGATAAAGAGAACATTTTTCTGGTGTCAGTGACTTGGATCTCCTGCCACTGAAAAGGTCACGGGCAAGGCTAGGAAGATCTTAAGGTAATTCTCAAGGTTGTGAAAATCAAGTGAGCTACTAGAAGCAAACATGCTTTATAAATTATGAAATATTTCACAAATGCAAGGGAGTATTTATGTCAGAGGCTGGAGGGCCTAAGATTCACCTCTCCTCCCCTCCATGTTCTGACTGAGAGAATAGGTATAAAGATAACAGGCCAAAGGGAACAAGTATAGACTTTGCTACGTGTAGAGAAAATGACCACATCCCTAAAAATGCAGAGTCTACTAATGTCTGGATTAGAGAATACAGCTTGGAACTGAGGTCAACATGAAATTTTTCTAATATGCTCCTGAATCGAAGCCATAGTATCTCCCTGACAGGTTGACTCTGTCTGAGAAACAGGCTCCAAATCCATTTACCCAATTAACTGTGGGTCTGGGAGTGGAAGGGAGCTCAAAACCTGTGGTACCCAGACAGCTCACAGCTAAAACCAGGACCCATGGATTACATAAAGCCTTGACCAGTCAGTACACTCTTTCTCCTGGGAGGAGGGAATTAGATGAGTAAAGAGAGAGGCCCCCAACAATACCCAAGGGAAGAGAGGTCAGAATTCCAATGGAAATGGGGTTGGGGGGGATACATTTCTTTATTTCTCAATACTTCCTGTGGGGAATAATGATATCATAATTTAAATTTCCTGTGCAGAGCAAAGAAACTCATAATTATTTTGGGTAACTAACTTCTCTGTTCCACCCTGGTCTTTCAGTTACCCTCCCTGTATTTAGTTCACTGTGAGTAGTTAGGAACTGTGTTGTCAGCAAAAGCCCAAGTTCAGAATCAAGGATAATAAAGGAGATCAAGAAGCTCCCAAAGAATGAGTTAAAGGCAAGAGAAGAATGCATTTCAACAAGTTGTTTGAGAGAGTTATGCTTACTCAATACATATCTGCTTACAGTAACAACATAGAGTTATTTCAAAACCTGATTCTTGAAATTCATGTTAAAAATAATTTTGTTATGGGTTAAATTTAATAGCTGTAACCCCTTTTTCCTATTGAAAAAATTCTTTTTGTAACAGATTTTCTCAGGGAGGCAATTATCATATTGTAAAAGACACACTATAATTTTTCACCAAATATCTGCTAAGTATCTGGCATATGCTACACAACATGAGATATCCAGAATTGAATACGATATGATGCATCTTCTAAAGAGCCAATATGAGAGGCAATGGAAGCAATAATAATATAAAATGAGCTAGATGTATAGACTTATAATCAAACTGGAACTGAATATGTGCTCAGAATGGGATCCATATATAGTAATAGAGTGATTACTAGTTTGAGGAGCAGGGGCAGGGATGGGGAGAACTTTGGAAGGACAGAGAAACTCAGGAAAGACTTCAGGGAGGAGGTGGCATTTTAACTGAGTCCTTGAAAAGTGGGTATTATTTAGACAAAGAAAAGATAAGATGTAATAGACAAAGGGAGTAGTGAGAGAAAGATACTGGGTAGGTTGCAGATTAGAAAGAGAGAATTGCTACTGTTGACTAGATTATAGTGCTTGCCAAAGGGAGCAATGATAAAGAGAAAGCTGATTAGAGATGAAATAGCAGAGCTTTTCATGGCAGGCAAGGGATTTTGAACTCTGCTCTCCATGGTAGTGGGCCTTTATAACAAAGCCATGAGCAAACTGCAGGATGTCCTATCTGTTTGGTATGTATGAACCTTGGCTTTGTCTTCCAAAGAACTGGAGGTGGAAGGGGAGGCTATTTGGGAGGCTGTTCTAATTTTCCAGCAGAAGTTGTATTTGCCTGAGCTAGGATGGTGGCTGTGGGAACTGCAAGGAGAGGAAGAATGGCAAATGTCTTGCTCAGAAAGAACCGATGGCATTTGATATACCTGATGTTAACCTATGACAGCCAGGCCCACTTGCTTTAACAGAGATTCCCCTCATCTTTGTAACTGGTAATTTAAAAAAAAAACAAGAATAAATATAAAATCATTTAGGTAAATACCAGCTGTCTTCAATCCAAAAAAAAAAAAGCACTGCCCCATTTTCAGAGCTCAACAACACCTGAGTAACTTGCCCATGGGCTTCAAACTTGGCTCACCACGTCAGCTTGCTGTCCCTTTTTCATTTCTTTAACACATAGAGCCACCATGGACCATTTCCTTTGCACAAAGGGTTCCATAGCTATGGAATAGTTTGAAAATCATAACTCATCCAACCTTTATAGATGAAGGAACTAGAAGGATACTGCAATTTCTGGACTCCAGGTCACATCACAAAAGAAATAGATAATAAATCCTCTTTTCAATATGCTGAATTCCCAATTTCTCTTTCAATGTTGTAACCCTGCTGTGTCATTATTATTCTGTTTTTCATCCTGGCAGAATATTAACATCAGAGCTTGATTATAGATTTATCAGTATTCAGATGTGGAAAAATCAATCATTTACGAAAAGAACACCAGTGTTAGATGAAAAGCTGCAGAGCCACTTCTGTGGAAAAGGAGTAGAGATTCTTGCCTGAGTGTTCTCTGTCTTGTTTCATAATTGCTGTGTAGTACCATTTTACTAAAATAGCTAATATTTCATTAACAACTCATATTATAGAGTCAGATTATTATGGATTTTCTGTTTGTGACAGGAAAGTTTATTTTTCTTAACCAAAATAATTACAAGCCATGAATCCTCATGAAGGTAGAGGTTGTTGACATAATAAAAAGATAATTTAGAAATCCAAAAAGGGGTCTGAAGGGTCAAAGTGAAAAGATAAGTAAAATGTATTTTCCTTTTAATAAACTCATACTCCCTGAAGACATCTGAGAAATGCTAATAATAGCACACAAATTATTAAATTTCTAAAGAGGATTAATGGAATGCAGCCTTGACAAAATTTAGTTGCACTCTCTTGGTATGCCTCACATTTTGTGATGACTCTATCGTGTGCTTTGTCTCTACTCCTCACATTGTACCAGAGCATCTAAAACCCTAAGGTGTGCACAGATCACGGATCGGCTGGACAATTACAACAGGAATGCAGATTCTCATTCAGTATGTCTGAGATGAGCCTGGGATACAGGTGATGCTGATGGTTCAGGAACTATACTTTGAGTAGCAAGGCTATACATACTGCTCTGCTCTGACCCTGTGGAGTCTGGCCACCTTCACAGGGTCTCCTATATTGATACTGCAAACAATTTTTTTCTCAAACAGTGCTCCCTGATATTCTAGGGAATAATGGGAATTGCTAAAGAGATTTTTTTAGGTCCAGAAGTAGACTCACACAAATACTGCTAGGACACTACCACTCTGCTAGAGCAGTTCCATTTTTATGGGTTTGACATATAAGCTGACCAACATGGAGAAACCCCGCCTCTACTAAAAATACAAAATTATCTGGGCATGGTGGTGCGTGCCTGTAATCCCAGCTACTCAGGAGCTGAGGCAAGAGAATCTCTTGAATCCAGGAGGCAGAGATTGCAGTGAGCCAAGATTGCGCCATTGCACTCCAGCCTGGGCAACAAGAGTGAAACTCTGTCAAACAAACAAACAAACAAAAACTCCAATGCTTAAAAAGGAAAAAACCTGAAAATGACAGCCCTAGGCTTTTCCATCTTCTCTTCATCAAGGAAAGCTATTGCTTGCTGAGAACTTACAGTATGCCAGTCCTCCGCAAAAGGATTGCCCAAAGTCACACATTTAAGAATACAGGCTAGGGTCCTAGAGCTGTCTGATGTTACCTAAAGCCTAGGTTGTTCCACATGCACCATTCTTCCTTCCTGTCCTGCTTCTGTGCTTTTGTCCTAGCCTCAGGGGTCTAATGCTCTGCTTTCTCTGGTGAGAGTGAGTAATGTGAGAAACTATTCAGTATTTGCTAATGGATTCTGTAAAGAGAATGTGAACAAAAGATCAATATTCATGTATCAATGTATTTCTATATATAGAAGCAATGAAAATAGGAAACTAAATTTAAAAATATATACCATTTAAAATAGTTCTAAAAATGATATAGTTAAAAATCTAGCAACTGTAACTGTATAATAACCATAACTAACATGCTATATTTATTTGCTACATGTTCAATTACAAAATGCTAATGAAAGAAATCAAAGAAGATCTAAATAAATGGAAAGACATACAGTGTTCACTGTTTGGAAGACTTAACATAGTAAAGATGCCAATTCTCCCAAAGTGAG